GACAGAGGGTGAAGGTTCTGGGGGTGCTGCGCCTGAGGGTGCTGCGACTGGGGGTGCTGGTTCTGGGGGTGCTGCGACTGGGGGTGCTGACTCTGGGGGTGTTGCGAGTCCTAGTGGCGGTGGAGCTGTGGGTGACCCTGCTGGAGGTCCTGGAGCTGGACAGCCACCGCAGCCTGATCTACTTGAGACACTCTCGCCGCAGGCGATTCGTGCGTGGATCGTTCGGCGAGGCAGTCCTGGTGGTGGAGGGTACGGTCCTGCTGGTGCTGGAGCTGCTAGTCCTGGAGGTGCTGGAGGTACTGCTGGAGGTACTAGAGGTGCTGCTGGTGCTGGAGGTGCTGGAGCTGCTAGTCTTGGAGGTACTGGAGGTGCTGCTGGTGCTGGAGGTGCCGGAGCTACTAGTCCTGGAGGTGCTACTGGTGCTGGAGGTGCTGGACCTACTAGTCCTGGAGGTACAGCTGGTGCTGGAGGTGTTGGAGCTGAACGTACTGGTGGTGCTGGTGCTGCTGGAGCTGGAGGTGCTGGAGGTGCTGGAGCTGCTGGTCCTGGAGGTGCTCGTACTGGAGGTGCTGGAGCTGCCGGAGCTGGTGGTGCTGCTGGTGCTGGAGGTGCTGGGGGTACTGGAGCTGCTGGCACTGGAGGTGCTGGTGTTACTGGTGCTGGAGCTGCGGGAGCAGCTGGTCCTGGAGGTGCTCGCACTAGAGGTGCTGGAGCTGCCGGAGCTGGTGGTGCTGCTCGTGCTGGAGGTGCTACTGGAGCTGCTGGCACTGGAGGTGCTGGTGCTGCTGGTGCTGGAGGCGCTGGAGCTGGAGGTACTGGAGGTGCTGGAGCTGCTGGTCCTGGAGGTGCTCGTACTAGAGGTGCTGGAGCTGCTGGTCCTGGAGGTGCTCGTACTAGAGGTGCTGGAGCTGCCGGAGCAAGTGGTGCTGCTGGTGCTGGAGGTGCTGGAGGTACTGCTGGTGCTGGAGGCGCTGGAGCTGGAGGTACTGGAGGTACTGGAGGTGTTGGAGCTGCTGGTCCTGGAGGTGCTCGTACTAGAGGTGCTGGAGCTGCCGGAGAAGGTGGTGCTGCTGGTGCTGGAGGTTCTAGAGGTGCTACTGGAGCTGCTGGCACTGGAGGTGTTGGAGGTACTGCTGGTGCTAGAGGTGCTGGCGCTGCCGGAGCTCGTGGTGCTGCTGGTGCTGGAGGTGCTGGAGGTGCTACTGGAGCTGCTGGTGCTGGAGGTGCTGGTGCTGCTGGTGCTGGTGCTGCTGGTGCTGGAGGAGCTGGAGCTGCTGGTACTGCCCAACGACGACTGATTTTCTACCCGCAACCGCAGTCGTCTCTACCGCCACCTGACTCGGTCCTTCGCCAGGTTCTTAGTCTCCGTCTTCCACTGGCCTCACTCCACCTCTCCTGTGTCCACTGACAGACCAGTCTCAGCCACAGCTACTGCCTGGCTCCCCGCTGCCTGCTCCTGCTCCTCACACTGAGGTGACTGAGTCCCTGACTGAGCGTCGTGAGCCTGAGACTCGTGCTTCCACACCTGTTCGTGCTCGTCGTATCGCCCGTCCTCGTCCTCCTACTGTCCCAGGCACTCACGGTATGGCACTTCGTCCTTCCTCTGTTCCACAGCGTGTTGTCCTGCCTGAGCCTCCCGCGTCCTCTCTTCCGCACGTTCCTGACTAAGAGTCTGACCTTGCTCGTGCTGCCAGTCCTACTGTCACTCGTCTCCTCGCTACTGTCGTCACTGACCCTGAATTTGAGTCCACTGCTGCGTTTTCCCTAGTCACTGAGCAAGTCGACTTTGCAGCAAGGAGTCGTCTCGACTACGTCGCGAGTCTTGTTACTGAGTTTGAGTCTGTCTGTCCTCCGTCCATCGGGGGTGAGCTTGCCCTTAGCAGTGACGTCCTTGAGGACAGGCACTTTGAGCTTGAGTGTCTTGCGGCCGCTTTACCTCGTTTCGCATCCATGCTGCTTTGCCCTGTGGGAGACCCGGATGCACTTGACATCCCTACCCCGCGCTCTTACGCTGAGGCGATAGCGGGTGAGTACTCCTCTCAGTGGCAGACAGCCATGGACGCAGAGATGGCTTCCTGGAAGTCCACAGGCACCTACGTCGATGATGTTCCTCCTCCTGGGGCGAACATAGTCGATGGCATGTGGATTTTCAGAGTGAAGCGGCCGCCGGGTTCTCCGCCTGCCTTCAAGGCGCGTTACGTTGCTCGAGGCTTCAGTCAGCGACAGGGGGTCGACTTCTTCCAGACCTTCTCCCCCACCCCGAAGATGACTACTCTTTGGGTGCTGCTGCACGTTGCAGCACAGCGTGACTACGAGCTGCACTCCCTCGACTTCTCCACAGCTTTCTTGCAGGGCAGCCTTCACGAGGAGATCTGGCTGCGCCGCCCACCTGGCTTCACTGGGTCGTTTCCTGCGGGTACCCAATGGAGCCTCCGGCGGCCAGTCTACGGTCTCCGCCAGGTGCCCCGAGAGTGGCACGACACACTGAGGACTACACTTGCGGCTCTTGGGTTTGCTCCTTCCTCTGCTGACCCGTCGCTGTTTCTACGCACCGACACTACCCTGCCGCCGTTCTACGTTCTCGTGTACGCCGACGACTTGGGTTTTGCTACTGCTGAAACTGAGGCGCTGGCCCTAGTGAAGGCGCAGCTGCAGGAGAGATACACCTGCACTGACCTGGGTGAGCTGCGCCGCTATCTTGGCTTGCAGATCACCCGGGACATAGCACGGCGCACCATCACCCTGACTCAGTCACACATGGTGCACCAGGTCCTTTGGCGCTTCGGCTTCCAGTACTCCTCGCCACAGCTCACTCCTCTGTCTGCTGGCCACTCGCTCTCAGCTCCACCTTCGGACGAGTCCGTTGAGCCGAGTGGTACGTACCCAGAGCTTGTGGGTTGCCTCATGTACCTGATGACGTGCACACGACCTGACCTCGCGTACCCTCTCAACCTCCTAGCTCGTTAAGTTGCTCCCGGTAGACACCTAAAGGTGCACTTTGATGCTGCGAAGAGGGTATTGCGTTACTTGTGCAGTACATCGGGCATGGGGCTCGCGTGCTTGGAGGACAGGGTTCAGTGGTACTCACAGGACACTCCAACGCTTCTTGGGCCGACGATCAGGCGTTTGAGCGTTCGTCACAGGGTTACACCTCCACTCGTTCTTCTTCTGTGCTTGGTTCTAGCTGTGAGACCGAGATCTACGCTGGGGCCATGGCTGCACAGGAGCTACACTGGCTGACCTACCTGGTGACCGACTTGGGGGAGCGGCCTCGTTCTCCTCCAGTTCTGTACGTCGACAACAAGGTCATGCTTGCCTTGTGTCGGGAGCAGAGACTGGAGCACAGAACGAAGCACATTGCTCTTCGCTACTTTCTTGCTCGAGAGCTGCAGCAGCGTGGTCAGCTTCGTCTTTCTTACGTGGCCTCTCGGGCCAACACTGCTGATGTCTTCACCAAGGCCCTCGGGTCTGGTCATCTTCATCGTTTTTGTACTGCTCTTGGGCTTCTGCCCGTTCTACCTCACCTGCTTGTCTCTTGATCTTGCACTTGTTGTACACTGATATCTATATTTATACATGCATGTTTCCTCTTGCTAGGTTGTGATCAGTGTACTGCCTTGCTATTATAACTCTGCATGTGAACTTGCCTTGTGGCCGCTTGCTTGTGCTCGGATTGTGTGGTGTCCTTGAGATCCACCCTGAGCTTTGCTTTGCTTTGCTCTGTTGTCTTGCTTGACTGGTCTTGTGACCGTCTTGTTGTCCCCCACTTAGCCTATCGGGGTGTGTCAAAGTACAACCTTACTTGTAGGCTATAGTGGGGCACTCCTTATGGGGTACAGCACTTCTAGGGTTAGTACTTGTACCCCAACTCTTGCTAATCCAATCATTCCTGCACAGTTATTCTGACAGGTGCCTAGTGCAGCATCGTGGGTACAGGAGGAGTCCGTGATGGCAAACAAAATGTGCCACAAGGACCAATCAGTGCTCTGACAGGGTGTGCGCTGGTGCTTACAAGTGAAAAATCGCGCCGCAGGGTGGCGTCGCCCCAGGTACAGTTACAGAACTTTACTGTTGTCCCAGGTTTCGCGTGATTGACGGGACAGGTACAGGTACTACCGCTAATCCTGGGTGTCGGCGCCAAGGTACGGTACATTGAATCAGAGTCGCTACGCGTTTGTACTCTGAAGGATCAGAGGACACTCCCGGAAAAAGCTGAAATTTCAGAGTTAGCCTTAAAAAAACTCTGAAACTTTCAGAGTTGAGGCCCTAAAAAAACTGAAATCTTCAGCGTACACTGGAAAAAAAATATGAAATATCAGAGTTTTTCATGCAAATCAGAGAAATTTCTTTGACTTCTGGGGGCCTCTTTCCTACTTGTTTGCTATCTTAGAGCGTATTCCTATCCTCGTATCAAGAAAACCTCATATCAACCTCCCACTGAAAATTCCCCTAAACCCAAAACCTCTCGCTACCTTTACCAGGCAAAAAGTACAATCTTGATATGAGGTTTTCTTGATACGAGGATAGGAATACGCTCTTAAACTTTGGAACTGTAGTCATACCAATGTCCCTCTATTGGTACCCTAATCTATTGTAGCCCTAAGCCAGGCACGCCCAACAAAGAGCTCAGATCAAATGCTGCTGTCTTGACAGCAACGTGAGGTTGAGATGGATGCTGGTACTAGAGAGTGAGTAAGGCGCATGGGCAGTTGCAGCCGTGATGAAGGGCAATTGAGTCCACTAGAGCAGCACGGAAGATGAAGGGATGCTGCGATGATAACAGATCTCACCCCACGCAGTTTCGGCCGTTGATGGAGCGTCACATGTGAATTTGTGGTTGACTAGTATTCAAGGTTTGGGGTTTCAGGTTTAAGGTTTACTGGGCGAGGTCCTGGAGAGCAGAGCGGAAGTTGAAGGGCTTAGAGGCTGGTGAGGAGAGTGAATGGTGGATGATAGAGAGCCACGCATGAATCCATGCAGTACCAGCCGTTGATCTAACATCACATGGGGATTTGTGGCCGTTGGATGTGGAGGGTTTGGCGGGCGAGGTCAACGAGGGCACGGAAGGTGAAGGGCTCGGAGGCGGCTATCTCTGACAGCACCTTGCGGTTCAGCTGCACGTTGGCCTGCTGCATGCCGTGCACCATCTCACTGTACCGCACCTGCTTGTATAGAGGATGGATTGGTGGTGGTGGGGGAGGGAGAGGAACAGGAAAGGGGGGGAGGGGGGGAGGCGGGGTGGGGAAAGGGGGGAGGGAAGAGGGGGTTGTGTGAGAACTGCCTTTTTCTTATCCATGCTCATCACCATCACCACCACGAGGGCTCGGAGGCGGCTATCTCTGAGAGCACCTTGCGGTTGAGCTGCACGTTGGCCTGCTGCATGCCGTGCACCATCTCACTGTACCGCACCTGCTTGTAGCGAGGATGAATGGACGGGCGTCTTGGGAAGATGGGGGTGGTTGGAAGGGGAGAACGAGGAAGGGGGGGGGAAGAGTGTTAAAGGGGAGGAGGGAAGTGGGGAAGCGAGGGAGGGAGAACGTGAAGGGGAAAACGAGGGCGCAGGTGTTGTGAGGGCCAAGGATGTACAGCAGAACTGTGGAGATGGAGGAAGTTGCTTAAAAACGGGAAATGAAAAAGGGGGAAGGGGAATGTCGCATTATAGGTGCGTTGCGTGTTGACTATGTGTGCTGTGCTGTAACGGGGATGGAGGGGTGCGTGGATTCGTGGATATATTGAGGGGGTGGATTTCGTTGCATGGAAAAAAGCACCCCAGCCATCATGCATCTCTAATCACTCACTCAATCGCGTGCCTCACTCGCCCCGTACTGTCACTCACCCCGTATTGCCGCGCGCCCGCGTTGACGCGTTCGATCGCAAGTCCGCGCATGTCGCGCTTCTTCGTGCGCCGGTCGCGGTACGCGTACGTCAGCGCCTTCTCCACGCGCGGCTTCGCGGCGCGAATGCAGTTCTTCGCTCGCCCGCGGAACCCCTTCGCCAGCTCCAGGATCGTCGCCTTGTTCATGGTAACGGGGTGACTGTATCGGGCGAGATGATGGAAGGGGGAGTGTGATTATACGGAGAGTGGACCACGGAGGTGATGGGTGGAGCGGGAGTGAGAGGAAAGGCGAGGAGGAGCAACAGGCCAGGGAGTCTCTAGGGTGTTGTGACGACGAGCGAACGGCGTGGGAGTGGAGATCGGAATCCGGGCTGTGGAGGCGCGGAAAGAGACAGCTGGGACGAATTTATTTAGGTCACAAGTGGTGTGTGCCTTGTGATTTCGCGTCGCAGACACACATGTTGTTACGAAAACGCTTTAACTGACAGAAAGTTCAGTGTATCGAAGTGTACTGGACGGACCAGAATCTTAAATCGCAAATCCCTGTATCGCAGACAAAGTTTTTGCTGAGCAGGGGGTCGCGTCGCGTGTTGGCTTGGAGGGGCGAATCAAATCTGTGCTGACGTGAATCGGCCATAGGCCAGCACGTGCATTCGCTGCGGCCAGAGTTGGCCTGTTGTTCGCCACACTTCCACGTCGACTCGGCTCGGCTGATGATGAACCAGCCCTTTTTCAGCCTGACCGCCTAGGCCAGGCCAGAACAAGCAAAACCCGAACCATATTTATCCGAGCTTCGGTGATCTCGAAGCAGCCAGTAATGACGGAAGCCAATCGTTACACGCCACGCGAATCACCCGCTTTCCCGCCTGAACCGAGCCAGACACATTTCCCCAAACCTGTCGACCAGAGCGCTGTTCGCTCCCTCGAAACACTTTCATCACCCCATGTTGCAGGAAACGTGAAACCAGAATCTTCCGTCAATCTTGTCCGTCCACATGTTTGTGAAGCCAAGAGATTGACGACACAGATGTAAACTTCAGCCTCCCCCTGCCGCATTTTTACTACTGTTTTCCAGCACTGCTCGTACGTTGGTTCTGTTCTGTTTTCGTCCCCTCTTTTCTGTCGCGTGCCGCATCGCCCGCTGCTTCGTTCTGCTTAGTAGCCTGCGTCCTTACGGGAATCCCGTCCCGTTCCTTCATCTGCTAGAAATATCTCGTTACCGTCTGTATAAACTCGCCTCTTGAACCCGTATTCCGTGGCAGTATCAGTACATGGCGATTAACAATCCCGAGTCATGGCGACTGATCGCAGGTTGGGACATCACCTAATTTTCGGGTGCAGCGCAGCGCTTAGGACACATAGTGCGCGTGGGATAATCGCAGCTCAACGAATCTTACCCCTAGAACTTTCTACGCGATAGCGTTCCCACAAACACCAGAACCGTTGCGAGCCGCATGAATCATGCCTCGTATGCCCTGTTAGTACACCACATCCCCGTTACAGGAGCACCACTCTCGAAACCATCATGGGGCAGGCGAATTCCACGTTCGAAAGGCCTCACTCGCCCCCCACCTCGCCCGTCGGCCGCTACAACTTCCCTCCGCCGCTCTTTCCGCCCTCCCCTTCCGCCGCGCTCCCCTCCCCGCGCCTGACCACTCCGCGCTCGTGGCATCCGGACGTCGTGCGCGCGGTCTTCTCCGACAGCGACTGCGTGCACGACGCCGTGTCGGGTCTCTTAACTCAGTACGTCGAGAAAATAGTAGGCGCCACGGATGCCAACTACCGCGATCCGGACTCCATAGAAGCCATATTCCTAGGCGCTCCCGCTACCGGCGCTGGTGGCAGCGGCGAAGGCGGCGGCGATGCCGGCGGAGGAGGCGGCGGCGGCGCCCACCAGGCACATTCCGCGACCGCGGCGGATGCGCCAGAACTCCCCGGACGACGTTCGTCCCCCTCCTCCCCCAATAATGGGGAACATTCCGCCAAATCCGCAGTAGAAACAGCTGCGGGGGAAGGGGTTGCTACAGCCGCTACAGCCGCCGCAACCGCTGCAAATGCGTCACGCGCAGTTGCGAGCGAATCCGTCGCGTCGCAGCAGCAGCAGCAGCCGGCGCTGCATCCGCTGAAGCGGCTGTCCAGCCGGCGGCTCGTGGCGGCGCCCGTGGCGCGCGCGCGGGAGGCGGCGACGCGCGAGGCGCTGGAGCAGCTTGAAGGCGCGATGCGACAGCTGGCGCGCGCGGAGTACGACTGGCTGGTGAGCAAGATCGCGGAAGCTTCTGCGATGGCGGCGGGGAATAAGGAGGTGAGCAGCGCAAATAACGGCGCGGGGGGCGGAGGGGGGGACGCTGGGGGAACGGGCGGAAGAAGCGGGCGGAGCATTGCGGGGATCGGGAGTATTAGTCAACGGTTTACCCGAAGCACCAGCACTAGGTCCGGGTTTGGCCCGGCGAGCTCCCGAACCGGGAACGCAGGTTCGGTCCCCCCGCCTCACCCGTTCCCCCGAAGCTCATCGCAGAAAGCTCCGAAACTTGGGCACAGTCGCTCGCTGTCGCTGGGGCAGGCGCTGTCGCACAAGCACTCGAGCGGCGGCGAATCAGAGGCGCGCGCGAAGCCTGGCGAAAGTCGCACAGCGTCGCAGGGGCATCTGGGGCTGGAGGCTGCGAAAGTGGAGGAAGTGTTCGTGGTGGGGCTGGCAATGTGGGTCGAATTCTGGAAGCAATGGGCCAAACCTGCCAGCCATGGCGCCGAAGCTGCTGCCTCGGCGCTAGGCTCGGGATTAGGCTCGGCGGCGCAGGGGGGGAAGCTGGGTAGGGGTGCCGGGCAGTGGGGGCGGAAGGGCGCGGAAGGGGGGCTGCGGAGTCTGAAGAAGCGGAGGGAGAGGATGAAGCGGAAGGAGGAGGGTGGTGGGGGGAAAGGGGGTGGTGCGGGGAAGGATGGGGGAGTGTTGGGGAAGGAGGGAAAGGAGAGAGTTCTAGGGGGTAATTCCGTGCTGGAGGTGCAATTGGATGGGTTAAGTTGCAAGAAACCCTTGGAAGAAGGGACGTTTTTCTCAGTTGACCTGGGGGATGAGGATGGAGATAAGGCGGGGAGGGGGGAGGCGGTGGGGGGAATGGAAAGTATTGATTTGACTAGTGGGCGGGGGGAGGGGAGGGGGAGAAGGGGCAGGCGGGGAGGAAGGGGAGGAAGGGGGGAACACGGGCAGGATTCTGAAAGTTTCGTGGAAGTTTCTGGCGCTGATAATCGGGAAGGTGGGGGGCGGAATGGGGAGGTGAGGGAGAGGGATGGGAAGAAGGAGGTACGGCACAAGAGGCTTTGGCAGAAGAGACGACGACACAAGGCAGGAAATGGAGGGGTGGGGAATGGAGTGGCAGGAGTTGGTTCGGATGCTCGGCTGTCTGTTAGTGAGTGCTCCGGCCCAGAACTAGGCACTGTAGCTGCTACTGCCACTGCCACTGCCAACCACTGTAATGGGTCCCTCTATGACGAGGATTTCTCTAGTGACACTGTAAGGTTTGATTTTGAAAAGCTTCCTAACGGAGCACTCTGTAACGAGGACAGCTGGAGCTCGGACAGCAATGGGTCGAGCGACGAAAGCACTTACTACAATCTCAACGAGTACGGCGCTTATAACGAGTGCAGTGCTTATAACGTGTTCGGATCTTATAACGAGTTCGGCGGCAGCTACAGCGCGAGCGGCAGCAGCGGCACGCCGTTCTCAGCGTGTGCCCCACACGGGGGGGCGTGTGGCGTCCACGTGGCAGAGGTAGAGGGCGACCTGAGGGCCGAGGCCGGGCGGCAACTGCAGGAGCAGCTGCTGGCGGATCTGCTGGATGGGCGGCAGGGCGCTCTGGGCGGCAAGCAGGGCGCATGGGGGGAGGTGTTATCTGGGGGCGGTGGTGCTGGTAGGGGTGGTGTTGGTGGGAGTGGTGGTGGGGGTGCGTTTGGGTTCCGAAGCAGCAGCGTCGGCAGCAGCACCGGAGGAAGCTTCAGCAGGAGCAGCAGCTTCGGCGGTGGCGCAGGCAGCAGCTTCGGGCCTAGCCTCGGCAGTGGGTTCGGGAACAGCCTCGGTAGTGGGTTCGGTAGCGGGTTCGGAGGCTACAGTGGCATGGGGGAGGTGGGGATAGGCAGTGGGCTCGGCTGTAGCAGCTACAACCCATCAGTTGACATCCTGAAGCGCCTCCGAAGCAGCTCCTTCTACTACTCTCACTCCCACCCCCTCTCCCAGCCTCACTCCTTCCCTCACTCCTCCTCTCACTCCACCCACCATTCTGCCAGCAGCAGCCCTGCAGGTACCCCCACTCCCTCGCCCCCTCCCCCGCCCCCTCCGCTGCAACACACTGATGTGGTGCGAGTGCTGGGGCTGGCAGCAGCAGCGTCTAACTGCCTGCCTGTGAGTGCGGCTGTGTGTGTGCTGAGGCTCCTGGACCGGCTTTGCAGGGAGGAGCGCGAGGCGGGGGAGTGGGTGAGGCGAGGGAGGGGGAGGGGGAGACGGAGAGGGGGTGGGGCAGCGGCAGCAGCAGCAGCGGCAAGGGCGGCAGCGGCGGCGGCGGCGGCGGCGGCGGGAGGAGGGAGAGGAGGAGGGGGGTGGGATGGTGGGGTTGGTGGTGTGGGGGGGAGAGGAGGGTTGTTGGGGGACGAGGAGGAGGATGAAGAGGAGGAGGAGGAGGAGGAAGGGAGAGAGGGAGTGAGAACAAGTGACAATGCTGCTGATGCTGATGCTGATGGTGATGATGGTGCGGATTCCGAAGCTGCGGCGGAGGCTCGGGAAGCTGTAGAACGGGAGATGGAGGCTCGGGAGTGCCGTATGTTCGTGCTGCAGTGCCTTCTAGACCTAGTAGACGCCCTGGCTCTTAAATGCCGCTTAAGATTAAGACCGCCCACTGCCAGCGAGTATCTAGAGGGGTTCGTGGAGGGAATGGGGGGGGTCAACGGGGTGGTTGCAGGGATGGAAGGTTATGGATTGGAGGGGTATGGGATGGGGGGGTATGGGGGAGTTGCGACACCTACAGGGAGTGTGACAGTAATGAAGGGGTTTCAGGATGACGAGGAGAGTACAGGTGGCAAGGACACAAGAAGCAGCAGCAGTGCGTTAAACGGATTCAACCCGTCTCTCTTCCAGCGCCAGCCGTCGTGGGGAGGGGGAAGGGGAAGCCCCGCGCCATTCCAGCGCCAGCCGTCGTGGCAGGGGGGCAGTGCAGCGCCTTTCCAGCGCCAGCCGTCTATCGGCTTTCGCAGCAAGATCGGTGCCTTGTTCCTGGGGGACGAGCGGGGGGCAGCAGGGGAAGGTGCGGAGGAGGAGGGAGGCATGGGGGATCCGTCGAGGCTGTGGAGGAGGCACAGGACGATAGGCTCGGGTGTGGGTCGGGCGGGCAGCATGTCTGTCTCTAACGCCCCTGCTCCCATGCGCCGCGCCACTGCTGGTGGAGGGGAGTTTGCTTCCTCTGCTTCTGTCTCCTCTGCTGTAGGCTTCTTTGGTCCAACGCGACTCACAGAGCTGGCAGAACTAGCGCTCGTTCGTTCCATTCTCCATGCCCCCACCACTGCTGCTAGGCCTGGCCTCGCTCCCACCCCTCCCAACACCTCTCCCCATGCTCCCACCAAAGCCCCTACCACCACCCAGTCCAGTTCCTACTCGCACCGTCTGCGCCAGCTTGATTCGCTCCTCACCACGCACGCGCTCGGCCCCGGGATTCTCGCCCTCGTTTTGGCCGGGGAAGTTGCGGAACTACCCCATTTAACCCAGGAGGACCTGTGGCTTTTAGCCGATAGAGCAGACGAGATGGGGTGTATGGAGGCGGCTATAAGAATCTCTCTTAGGGCCGCCGCTGTTGCTTATGATGATTTGGATACTGTAGCAGATACGGTTCGGGCGGCGATGGTGCCTAATGGGACGGAGCCCGTGCCGCAGCGGATCCACCGGCTGCTCGGGGCGGCGCATTTTGGACTGACGCACGCGCCGTCGGGCGGCGTGCGGTGGCAGTATGCGATGGCGTTCGGGGCGGCGTTTTTGGAGCCTCTGCGGGCGGCTGCTGCTGCCAGTGCTGCTGCTGAGGCGAGGAGTAGGGCTCTGGGGTGTGGCAGGGAGTGGGGCGGCGTGGGTGGGGGCCTTGGGGGAGGAGGGGTGGGAGGAGGGGGAGGAGGGGGAGGGAGCTGGGGGGCTAGAGGAGCAGCAGCAGGAGGAGCACTAAGAGCAGGAGGAGAGGCAGCAGGAGCAGGTGGGGCAGCGAGGAGAGGAGTGAGTTACCCATGGGCATATGAACTAGCAAACGGGTTCCTGCAGCTGAGTCGCGTGTTCGGGGCACCACCCTCTCGTGAGGAGCAGGAGCGTGCGGGCGAGATGAGCGCCCTGTGCGCGCGGTTCGTGCTTAGACTGGCCATTGAGCCGCTGCTGGTGGTGGCAGAAGAGGAGGGGGAGGGGGATGGGGATGGGGATGGGGAGGGGGTGGAGGGGGTGGAGAAAGGGGAGGAGAAAGGGGAGGAGAAAGGGGAGGAGAAAGGGGAGGAGAAAGGGGAGGAGAAAGGGGAGGAGAAAGAGGAGGAGAAAGGGGAGGAGAAAGAGGAAGATAAAGCGGAGGAGGGGGTGGAGAGGGAAGGGGCCGAGGGGAAAGGGGCCGAGGGGGAGCGAATGGAGGGGGAAGGGATGGAGGTGGAAGGGGAAGGGGAGGGGGATGGGGAAGGGGAAAAGGAGGGGGAAGGGGAGGGGAGTGAGGGGAAAGGGGCGGAAGGGAAAGGGGCGGAAGGGAAAGAGAACGGAACAGAAGGGAAGGGGGACGAAGAGGAAGGGGAGGAGGGGAGGAAGGGGGAGGTTGAGCGGGACGGCAAGACGGAGACGGGTAGAGAGGAAGAGGGGAAGGAACAGGATGGTGAAGGTGAGGATGCTTATGTCTATGCAGGGCAGTACTATGGAAGCAGTGCTGGGAAGCGTGACAAGAGGAGTGTGAGACCGTTTCGCAGCAGGAGTGTGCAATTGGGTGATGAGAAGGGTGTGAGGCAGTGCGATGGGAACACAGCGGCCGAGACGGGCGAGGGGCGTGCAGTGACGGGCGAGGGGCGTGCAGTGACGAGCTTGCAGGGAGTGCATGCAGAGAGGGGCGAGGGGCGGGCGATCACGAGCTTCTTTACAACCAAGGAAGGCGCACTCAAAGCGGTGCTGGAGCAAGGGGGTGTGCGTGAAGGGGCTGTGGAGGAGGGGGGTGCGAAGGAGGGGGCTGTGACTGGGCAAGGGGTTTTGAAGGGGTTGCTCGAAGGAGAGGAGACGGGCAGTAGGGGTGACAAGAAGAGTGAGGAGGGGAGTGAGGGGGAGGGGATTGATGGAGAGGTGTGCAAGGAGGGGAGTGAGGAGGAGGGGGAGGAAGAGGAGGAGGAGGAGCAGGGCGAGCCTAGCTTCTCATTCGCCAAAACCTCCACCATTCACTCACGCGACTCCTCCTCTCCCCATCCACCACTGTCCCTCCCGCCCTTCACCGTTTTCCCTAAATCCTCCTCCTCCTCCTCCGCAGCCTCTACCGCTCGCACCTCTACCTCTCTCGCCTCCTCCACCAAAACTGCCACCACAGCCGTTAGCCTTAGCACCACTACTGCCACCTCATCCCGCCCTCCGCCTTTCTCCCTGCACACCCAAAACGGCCGCATCGCTCCCCGACCCTCCCTGCTAGGCTCGGCGGTGGCAGAAGGCCCGGACGGCCTGCCGGCCGAGGCTGATCGGGAGGCTCGGCAGCGGCAGGTTCGGGAGGCGGCGCTGGTCCGGTGGGCGGCGGAAGTGAGTTTCCCAGGCGTGGAGGTGGGGTGGGCGCAGTGGAAGGCGGTGGGGGGGCTGCTGGAGAGGGAAAGCGCACTGGCACACAAGGCACTGCCTGTCATGTGGGGGAAAGCAGTGAAAGGAACGTTCAAGGTGAGAAATTCTTGTTGAAAGGCCCAATGGAGCGTGGAAGGGTCACGCTTATCACACGCTCCCCTCGCCCAGTCCCCTCCCCCTCCTCCATTTCCCCCCCCTCGACTCCTTCCCTCCCACCCTGCTGGCTGGCAGTGACACCAGATGGGGCCATGTCGGAGTGGCAGATGCTAGAGTCATCCGGTTCCCCGTCCGGTTGACCCGGTTCCCCACCCGTGGTGCTCCACGGCGGTGTGGCAGGGCCACTCACCATCCTCGCCTCGTTCCTCCTGTCTCCCTTCCTCCATCCCTCTCTCTCCTCGTCTCCCTCCCACCACCCCGCAGGCAGTGACGCCAGACGGGGCCATCCCAGAGCAGCAGGTGCTGGAGGTGTTCGACTGGGGTGTTGAATCGTGGCAAGAAGCACCGTATTCGCCACTATCACTGCTCCCGGATCCCCTCACAATCCTTTCTCGCTCTCTCTGTTCTCTCCATCCCACCCCTCCAGGCAGTGACACCAGACGGGGCCATACCAGAGCAGCAGATGCTGGAGGTGTTCGACTGGGGGCTAGAAGGGCTGCTCATCACTCTCACCTCGCCCGGCCCTATTTACCTCGAATCCACCCCCCGAGCCTCCTCGCCTTGCTCCTTCTCCTCCTCGCTTCTCCCCACCTCTGCTTCCTCCTCCTCCTCCTCCACATCCTCAGCATCCTTCTCCCGTTCCTCCTCCAACAAGCAACTGCATGCAGCCCCCTCTGCACCCAACCCCTCTGCACCCAACCCCTCTGCACCCAACCCCTCTGCACTCATAAGTACCACCACTACCACCTCCTCCTCCTCCTCCTCCTCCTCCTCCTCCTCCTCCTCCTCCTCCTCCTCCTCCTCCTCCTCCTCCTCCTCCCCTTCCCCTCTCACCCCCTCCCTCCACCGCTCTCCCTCCTCCCTCGCCTCCGCCTGGGCCTGGATCGAGCGCCTGATCTCCACCGTCGATCCGCGCGAGAAGGACATCGGCGATCTAATCCTGGCCATTGCAGCGCGCATGGCGGCGCACATCTATTGGCGGTGGCCCAGGCGGAGGGACAATGCACGCTACATCGCCCGCTTGCTCCTTTATGCTCACAAGCGCTTTGGCTGGCAGCAGGAGGGGCAGCAAGGGGGGCAGTGGGGGCAGTGGGGGGGGCAGTGGGGCCAGCAGGGGCAGCTGCGGATGCGGGCGGTGAGGGTGAGTGAGCGGCTGTGGGGGTGGAGCCTTCCCGACGCTGCTTCTGTGCGAGAACAGTGCGAGGTAGGCCTTTGGGATGAGGGGTGCAGTATGGGATGAGGAGGAGTGGGTGGGGCGGTTTGGGGTTTTATCTGCTTTGTTGCGAGGTGAGGGGTGGGGGGTGAGGGGTGTGGGATGAAGGAGAAGGGGTAGGGCGGTCTGGGGTTTTATCTGCTTTGTTGTGAGTTGGAGTGAGTGTGGGCATGTGCGTGTGTGTATGCACATGGGTGCATGCGTATGTGTGCATGTACCGTACATGTGTGCATTTATGCGTGTGCATGTATATGCATGCGTGTAATTGTGTAACCATGTGCTCATTGTGGTGTGTCTTGTGAATTACTTGGTTGGCAGACTGAAGAAGAGGCTCGAGAGATCATGGACAGTGCAATGATTGCAACGTGGACGGGCATTGCGGCATGATTCAGCCAACCAGAGTACAACAATTGTAACCTCGTTGATTAACCCACGAACACCTGGTGACATGATCTATCAAGGTCTTGTCCAGTCATTATTTAAGGGAAGCAACTTGTTCCCTTTTCTCATACGCATGATGTGCTATGCTTTTCAGTTTAATATGCAGTTGTGTTGGGAGGGACTGTATGGTACGGTATGTGTGCTAGTGTGTGGAAATAACAACGCAATGGGTATCAGTTGTAATTTCCGAGTAATTAGTCTGGTACTTGTCCCGTTGAGGTTTTTGTTTGTTTGTTTGTTTGTTTGTTTTGTTTTTTGTTTTTGTTTTTGTTTTTGTTTTTTCCCGTTTGGGGGCTTCACAGCATGGCTCCTGTCTTAGCTGCTAGGGTACTATGAAATCATCTGAAGTGTATCTACAATAGCAGTTGTAACGATTTGCATGTACAAGCTCCTAATTTGACCGTTTCGACAAGTTTCACAGCACCTTCGCTCTCCCCGAGCCGCAACGATCTCACAAATTCCATATAGCCGAGTCGCACATTTTTCCCAGAAATTGGAGGAAGAGGAGACGAGTCGAGGGTGCTGTGGAAGGAGCTCTCAACCAAAGCAAGGAGGCGGCAAGAATCAAGACCCAATTCACCTTCACATGCTCTTCCACTCATGTGGTTTGTCCTCTCTGTTGTTCCACCAGCATCTTCCAAGGAATTTCGTAAAACGGCACGTTATATTTATTTGCCGAGTTTAGCGCGAGGTTGTTTCTAGACACGATGCGTGAGGTTCCTGTTTTGGATCATAGTTCTTTTGGCTACTGCCTTACAAAGCCATCTCTGTGCTCAGTGGCTACTAACCTAACCATCCCGCGCTGCAACAGCCCTGGTCCTTCGTTGGCGTATTGCAGATGCGATCGTTTATCGTGAGCTTGCTTTCTACAGAAGCAAAACGTTGCTCAGCCAAGTGCGTATTTTGAGGACCGTGCGTGCTGGAAACGACCTTACAGCCAAAGCAGACTGCACATCTGCTGCTTTACACTGACATCTCGTACAGCGCCATGACGCCTATTAGCCATTCAAAAATTTCCCGGCCACACATCTGCAGCGCTCTCCCTCGCCTTTCCTTTTTCCTCCTCGGAGCAGTTCTTTCGCTACTGGCGCATCATGTCGCCCCTCTATCCGCGCAATCGTCCGCTGCCACCGCAGCAACCCCTCGATACGACAGTAAGTGTTCAAAGCTCATCCGAGGAGGCTTCTCCCGAATACCTCTCGTCGAGCCGGACAGCCATCTCCACTCGTCCCGCTTCTATCCCCGGCTCCTCAAGTCGTCCTCTCAAGGCGAGCCCACATTCTGGCCGGAGAGCAGCACCTCTGCCACCGACTTCTCCTCCGAAGCTTCTCCCACGCCGTTCATTCTGGACACTCCAGACTTGCTCCCTGAAGCGAACCCGAATTTCGACTCCGGAAATCCGTTCTTCACTCCCAAAAAGCCGGTGATTTTCTCCATGCCGGACCCAGATCCCGCTAACTTCGTTACGAATCCATCCGCGGTAGTGAGTGGCCCGACTGGGGTGAACGTGGATATCACAAGTGGCTCTCCGGGAAATGGAAACGGGATTCAACCTGCTTTCCCGCAGCCGGGTGCAGGTAACCAGGTAACCAGCAGCCTTCCCGCCCCGCGTCCCACTGGCACGATTTTCAGCGTGCGGAGTTTTGGAGCCAAGGGAAACGGAGAGTCAGACGATTCCGATAGTTTTTTGGCCGCATTCGCAGCAGCGTGTAACGCGTCTCTTGATGCAGATGACGGCACCACCCCTGCAACGATGCTCGTTCCAAGTGGATACACCTTCTACCTCACGCCTATTCAGCTGATCGGCCCTTGTGGGCCAGGAGGAGTGAACGTCCAGATCGACGGGAACATTACGGCGCCTGAGAAGCTCTCACGATATCCGTCGTCATCCAGAAAGGGTATTTTCGCGTTCCTTAAATTTGGGATGATCACGAACCTGACGGTGTTCGGCTCGGGGTTTATCGATGGGCGAGGGGAGTCGTTCTGGGATAAAGGGGGCGACCGGCCTGTTCTGGTGTACGTTTATAGGTGCAACGGCACGAGCATTAGCGGCATCACGCTTCAGTAAGTCCTGCTCGTTTTGTATCCTTCGCATCATGCATGTTCCCTGGTCTATAAGACGCTCGCAATCAGCGGTACACAATGCAGGTGCTGATTGATATTCTGTGGCTTGCTTTTTGCAGGAATGCACCATTCTTCCACCTGCAAGTTACTCGCTGTGTGGGGGTGAGGATATATGACTTCAAGACAAACACCCCTGCGGAAAGCAGAAACACGGACGGAATTCATGTGTCCGTGTCAACCAATGTTGATATACGGGACTGCACCCTGGCGGGTGGTAAGTGATTGAAATAGTTCTGAACATCTGATGTGTTGCCAGTGCAAGTTGCCATCGCACGACCCTAAACAACGATATTGCTTGTTCCAATGCAGGCGATGACAACATCGTATTGTGGGACGGCGTGAACCGTACGCCAGCATCTCAAACATTACTGCCTTCAGTGGCCATGGAATATCGTACGTCAACCGTACTCCAGAGCTGGAACTTCAATTACAGCGCCCTGCATGGTCTTTGAAATCATGTTATATTTATATGCATGGCGTTCCTCACTGTCCTGTTATTGCAACTATGGGCAGAATTGGAGCACTTGGCAGTGGCAAGATAACACCACTCTCTTGCGTTTCAGACGTGACAGTGAAGTCCGTCCGGTTCGTCAACACGAAGATAGGGCTACGCATAAAGACTTTCCAAGGTGGAACTGGTGCAGCGACTAACATTGCGTATGAGGACATCACAATGGAGGGGGTTCGGTACCCATTGGTTCTGGATCAGGTGAGTGAACGACGCTCTTTTAATCTGCCAATGCCAACTTTGTCACTCTGTATTGACGATTATTCATGTGGCTGCTTCAACCTGCAGTTCTATAATGGAGGGAGCTTGCTCTCGCGAAGCTCAGCAAAGTCCAAGAACGTCGCTATCTCGGATGTTTCATTCTCGAACATCCAGGGCACAACCATTGGAGACGAAGGTGCTGTTTTTCGTTGCAGCAAAACAGTACCATGTACTAACGTGAGGCTCAGCAACGTTGACATAACCGCAGCAGGACCACCGAGGCAACTGGTTCCGATTTCAGACGACGTATATGGTAAGATAGGAGGGGATTCCTCCTTGGCAATGGAGATTGAAAGTAAAGCTGACTCTGACGAGCTTGAGAGGATACAGAAATTAGTGTCCGCTTGTGCCGCGCAGCCCCTCGTTTACTAACTGAGAAGGCGTTGTGACTTATCCGCTGACAGCCGATAACATTAGATTCCATAACCATAGCCAACGACCGTAGTTTAAACCCTCTGATGCTTCTTCACTGACATGACCAGTCAGCGGAATGTCCGCTGTAGCCTTAGATTTGTGCATAATGTACATCCAGCAATTATCTCATCCTGTGTCGAGGCATAATAGGTCGAAACATCTGAAAAGCTTCATTTGAAAATACATTGTACAGCGTTAATCTTCCAGAATAACGTCGACTACCAGTGCAGCAGATCCAAAACTCGCTGGACGGCGTCATGGACGTTTTTGCGATCGTCTTGCAGCTTGCTTTGAGTGGCTAGAGTATCAAGCTTAATTCGTTCGAGCTCTCTGCCGATGTCAATTCCTTCTTCATTGAGAGAGCTGAAAGGGTTCATGCACATGTTAGTCGTCGAATTGGCATTGAAAATATCTGGTGTTGGACGTGATGCCAGATGGCACTTACTCTATGTCAGGCAGCAGACCTTCCATAGCGCTTTGTGTCTGATTTAACAATTGCGATATTAAGTCGCGCGTGCTGTTGCCGACGCCAGCTTCTTGTGGGAGTTCGTCAGCGCTCTGGTCAACCATGCCTTCCTCGGGGCACTCGATGACAGTTTCCAAAGCCATAGCGACAATCAAATGGATCGAAAGAAAATCGAAAAGAAGGCGAATGTGGTTTGAAGTTGCAAACGAAAGTTTGTAGGCTGGTCCCATGTCAATCTCGAGAGTGCTTGGTAACCTCGATATAATTTTCTAGAAACAGTCGCTCTCTGGTTTGACCCGCTTATTTCGGTGTTTTCTTATTGTACCCTCGGTTGGTGAACCTACTCTGCACCAGTTCCCACACACTTCTCAGGTCAGTGGAGGCAGGGGGTGTCGGAAGATCAGTTTCTCCAGCCAATCAACGGCGAGTAACAATATAGGTGCGATACAGATATCTTTCGCCATCTTCGCCCATTTTGCCCAAACCCTTCCCACACGCAGGCCAGCGTCAGAGAGTGGAATAACTCAACCCCCAGATCTCAACCGCAGCTGCTTGCATAGTATCTGTATCCACGGTTAGGATTCACTTCGCTCCTATTGGTTGAAACGACGGCTTCAAATTCAAACCATTGGGCTTGCCGCGTTCCAAACTGACAAGATGACTCTGCGACTCCAGATCAAGCAACAATCGACGGCTCTTAGGTCACGGAGTCCAACGTTCACCAGCGAAATCCCGCGACTCCCGCCTTTGTCAACGGAATCTCGCTGAAAAAAAAATCGGTGTCGTTCGTCTCGTGCAGGACAAGCGAACGACGTAAACTTGGCAGTTTTCGTTTCCTCCCTGACTGGCAGATAGATGTGACACGCGGACGATTCTCAACCAGCCACCGAAGTGACTCTCGATCTCCCTGTCATGGACAAACACTCAGCCTGACCGGCCAACCATTCCCAGCCGCCGTCACTGTTCGTCGCGACCTAACGCAGCCGGTTAACCTGTAGACCAACGAGAAACTGGCTAGGGTTGCCGTGACGAAACACGCAAAAGGTCCGAACCTACGGCTGAGATTTGAGTTATCAAGAGAGTTTCAGTCAATCCAGTGATTCTGGACTGTAGCTCTGAAAAGGGTTGTTGTGAGGAAAGGAGAGGAGAGGCAGTTGCGCCTCATGTCGAAGT